TCAGCACCTGTGCCTACAGCAACAGCAACCCACTTCCTTGAATTGATACAGAGAATTCTATGAACTTATAGGGTCTACCTTTTGTCTGATTTTCTAACCTCACTACCTCCCTCATTGTTTTTAATGCCACAGGGCATGTATTTACTTTTGAAAATTAAAGGGGGGTTAATTATAATTTTGTTTTGAAATACTTTTTTTTTCTTAAAGAATTTCACAACCCCCTTTGAAATATTTAGAGATATCCTAGGGCCATGGTCGGTAAACTGTAGCTCGTGAGCCACATGCGGCTCTTTGGCCCCTTGAGTGTGGCTCTTCCACAAAATACCACGTGCGGGCATGCACGTACAGTGCGATTGAAACTTCGTGGCCCATGCACAGAAGTCGGTATTTTGTGGAAGAGCCACATTCACGGGGCCAAAGAGCCGCATGTGGCTCTCGAGCCGTGGTTTGCTGAGCCGCAGTTTGCCGACCACTGCCCTAGGGTGTTGCAAAGAGAGGATTAGAAACAATTCCACTCTGCCAATATGCAGTGTTTTTCTCAGCCATACCAGTGTTGCTTTCCTGAAAGGTTTACATTCTTTATTTTCTCTCACTCTTGGCATATGCTTTGTTTACTGTATAGTACAAATAAGTGTTCTTCTAATACTCTTTTTTTCTCTGTACTCCTCGGGTTTTCTGGGTGACATATATGGCATTTTACTTATAAACTTTTCCTTGTTAAGCTTCTATCTTGTATTATTGTTCTACCAATGACCTGGTGCATGGATTCATGCACATTGAAAGGAAATTAATTAGAAGGTGGCTGGAGGGGCAGGACTGGGCTAGATGGGGCTGAACATGCCCTGGGACCAACCTTCCATGATCCCTCCCTGGCCAGTGGCACCTGGGGTGGCGCTGTGGCTCAAAAGGTGTCTGTGGAGTAAGTGGAATCCCTCTGGCAGGTGGGGTCCCTCGGCCTGGCCTGAGGGGATTGAGCAAAAACCGGCTCTCGAGCATCCCCCAAGGGGTTCCAGAGTGAGAGAGGGCACTCTGCAAAGTTGCTGGTTGTACAGGGTGTGGAACGCAAACGCAAGTGTGTGGTAAACCAGATTTGAGGCCAACAGTGCCCCAGCAACAACATAACCCACGGCCAAAGGTGGAATTACACAGCCCCGCTAGGAATCGGGCTCCCGCCTCTCTGGTTTCAGGGTGCATCACCTGAGAAATGCCGCTGCCAAGTCACTGCTGCTTGGCAGCTCCTGCATTGAGCGTCTTCCCCCTGGTGGTCAGTGTGCATCATAGTGACCAGTCGAATGGTCGAACACTTAGCATATTAGCCTTTTATATAGATAGATAGATAGATAGATAGATAGATAGATAGATAGATAGATAGATAGATAATCTCTAAGTCATTCACCAGAGGCCTTCATACTAACTGTTGAAAGATAAATGTCATTACATGATCTAGTATTTCATACCTTTAAGCCAGAATTACTCAGAGTGAATATAATTTTATCAAAGATTAAAAATTAATTTAGAATGCACAGATATACCCTAAAATATTGGGGAAATTTCCCAAGAGCATAGAATTTAATGGTACTCTAAATACGCAAAAGAGAACATTTGCTTAATCTTTTTACTGAGCACTGAAAGAATTAATGGGGTTATAACTGGGTGAGCAAAGGGGTAGAGAGAAACAAACCTAAGATAAAGCTAACCATACTGGTGATACTGTGAGCATAGGTGTAGGGCCAGGGCTTTGTATGCATCACAGAATATGAGAAAATTATACTGGTAAAAAAAAAAGAAAGAAAGAAAAGTAGGATACGTTGAGAAGGAATAAGAGAGGAAGTAATGTGTGGCTAGATAATGAAAGGATTTGAGTGCCTAGTTCCAAATAAAGAACTAGGATGACAGTCTCAAAATATAAAGTTGATGATGCTGTGGTTTTTGAGGTAAGATTTGTCTGGGTGTGTTTCTCTTTTATAGGACAGTTAAAAATTTAGCTCTAGAAAGTAGTATGAATTGGAATTTTTTTATTATGTAGAGAAGCTAACTACCAATTCATTTTAAAAAATCACATGATGTTGATGTATTTTTGTTGTTGTTTTTAAATATATTTTTATTGATTTCAGAGAGGAAGGGAGAGAGAGAGAGAGAGATCAATGATTTTCTCATTGAGAAAATCATTGATCTGCTGCCTCTTGTGCGCCCCCTACTGAGGATCGAGCCTGCAACCCAGGCATGTGCCCTTGACCGGAATCGAACCTGGGACCCTTCAGTCTGCAGGCCGACACTCTATCCACTTGGCCAAACCAGCCAGGGCTATTGATGTATTTGTTGACATTGATTATTAGGAAAAAGGAAAAAAGAGACTGGAGTCATGAAAATTCCTGTGCAGAGGAAGTGAGAACACTCCCATTTCTGTTGGCCGGCGATGCTGTTTACAACCTGCCTTTTTCTTGCTTGGTGTAGGCACCCTTTCCACTTGCCAGGGGGAGTAGTAATGTGGTACGTCATGCCAGAATTTGTAGCAAAGGTCTAATGTGATGATGCTGTGGCTCTTGGCTCTTAGTCAAGTGTGCGTGTAGCCCAAGCACACTAAGATTCCTTACAAGGTGCCGAAACAGGCTGGCTGTGTTCTCATTTATTGTGAGGCCTGATAATGTGCTAAGGCAACAGAATATGTGCTTGCCTTATATTTGTTCCATCTAGTGAGCAGGATGGAGTAACTCTGGGGTTAATTTAGGCACACAGCTAAGAAGAGGAAAATTGGCTTGGATAAAACCTGTTCTATCTGAAGTGTAAACCATCTCATTGAAATCTAATGAAGTTGGGACAAAACATCAGAAGTTAACATCAACTTCTTAAGTGTTATGGTCTGGGAGCTGGCCACTCCTTACTCTAGTGGGTAGTAACAAAGGTCTCAATAAAAACAAGAGAAGTCCAGCCTAGAGAAAACCTGAGACCCAGTTTTGAGCCTGAGATCTGACTTGCAGAATGACAGGGGCGTGTCTACCCTTAGTTAAGCTGTTTGGACTAGATGAACTGGACTAGGTAAGTCTTCCTCAGACTTTAGAGAAACCCAGTGTCTCTGGGTTTCAATTTTGCTACAAGTGTAGGAATAGCTATCTGAGAAGCAAGAAGTTCATGGAAATAACATCAAATTCTTGGGAAGTACAAAGTACTATGTACATATCTAGAAATAGTATTGGCTGCTGAGGTAAGAGAATGGTTCATTTCCACAACCTGGTCTTCAAGAAGGGGCTGTTTTTAGTTTTTCAAAGGCCTAATAGAATCCTTTTATGTAGCTATACTGAGGTGGTCCGGGCTGATTTCGACTGGAATGTGATGACTTTGGGAAGCCCATGCCATTCAGAGGTGCTGACTGGTATATATACAAGCCTTTTATTAATGAGGAAGGAAATGTGAGATGTTAAATTAGTAAGTGCAATTTTCTGAATAGGTACAATATTTTAGAAACATGAAATTCCTGTGGAATAAAGAAAGAAAATAATTGAGGTTCACAATCTTTTATCTAAAACTTTGAGCCAGACATGTTTTTGAATTCAGAAAATCTTTGGATTCTAGAAATGTATTGGGATGCCTAGACCATACATCAGTGGAGTCTTGACCAACAACGCTTAAACACATTAATATTTCTACAATTAAACATGTGAATAGTCAGACTGACCATTCGATGAGATTATGAAAGACTAAGAAGACTTATGACAGTTCAGATGTTACCAAACTGGTTAGGTGTGAAGTTACAAAAACCTTACAAATCAATTCTGGATTTCTGAATTGTGGCTAAAGTGTTATGAATAGACCTGATCAAGTAACCAATTATTAAGTAATTACTACATGTCAGCTTTGAGATGGGGCCATTTGCACTAATCTTTGTAAACATCCTGTTAAAGTAGACATGGTTACCTATTATCCATAATTTATGAATTGGGAAAGTTCCAAGGCTCAGCCTATTCAGTGAGTGGCCAGCGGCCATAAGTATGTGGCAGACCTGGAATTTGAACTCAGCTCCTTCTGCTCCAAAGACAAAGAACAATTGTCTTCCTCCCTGATTGATCAAGACCTCTGGTTATTGTGATCATTTGCGACTGTTGCCTGCACAGAAAAAAAAAAAAAAAAAAAAAAGCCAGTCCTAGCCAGGTAGCTCAGTTGGTTAGAGCATCATCCCAATATGCCGAGGTTGCTAGTTCGATCCCCAGTTAGGGCACATACAAGAATTGATGTTTCTCTCCCTCTCTCCCTCTAAAATCAATAAATAAAAATTTTAATGCCTTAACTTAATTAAGTTTTCTCTCCTCACGCTACAATCTTTCTCAGAAAATTCATCCAATGGTCATTTATAAACGAATGATACCGGCTGGATCTATGGCCCACTCCTGAGTATCACACTTAGATATTTGACTTACTGTTGGGCATCTCCATGTAATTGTCTCACTGTCCCAGTGACCTCCAAATAGAAGTAAGCATTTTCTCCTCCATAGTTGTCTTTCAGAATTCCCTCTTCTACCATCTCAGTTACCCCTAAGCTGAACTCTTCCCATTTCCCTCCCTCTCCAGCTCTGTAATTACAAAGTCCTGTGGAGTACAACACAAGAGCAGCACCAAGGAAGCTGGGGTTCTCCCAGTGCAGTAATTTAATTTACCAACCACAGATCTTGTCACCATTCCCAGCCACTATGTATAAAACGGAGGTTCTGACCAATTGTGGCTAGCCAAAGTAGCCTGGAATCCCATCTACCTGCTCAATGGCAGATTGCTAAATATTAAACACTATCATTTTACCTTGTATTCTAGACTACTTTCTGTGTTTAAAAACCTGTTTTCTGTGACCTCAAAATTACCTGTATTTTCTCTATTCCTGTGGGTGTGTCATAATATTGAGTAACTAAGTAGATAACATGCTTTCCGTTAACAACTAACCTTTGCTCTAAACTTGGGCTGGGACGATCATGAGGTAAAGTAACAGCCACCTATTTTTTCATTCCCACCTTCAGGTAAAAGGCCGAGCCTGAAAGTCCACATCAACACCACAAGTGACTCTATCTTCTTGAAGTTCCTGCGTCCAAACCCTAATGTAAAACTGGAAGGTTTTCTTCTGGGATATGGCAGCAATTTATCACCAAATCAGTACTTCCCTCTTCCGGCGGAAGGGAAATACACCGAGGCGGTAGTCGGTAAGATGCTTGGCTCTCAGGCCTGGGAAGAGAGCTAAAAGTAATGGGTGTTACATGATACATAAATTGTGAGGGCAACACCATTTCTTCTCCATCCTCAGCTGAATCAAATGCCAGAATTACAAATCCTCTTCATAATTGTTATCCATAGCACAATTCCTTACATCAAAGAATATGGGATGCATATTCTGCATGTACTACAGAAATAATCAACTTTATTGCCATTATACCTACAATCCCTGAGCACATACTTAGATTGAATAGGGAAAAAATAAGCTGAAACACCTGGTTTAAATCTCTGTACTATAGCTTATGTGGATTAATTCCCCCACACCCCCCAACCCCCAGTGCCTTAACTTTCTTCTGGTGGAAAATAAAAACTATGGCTTTCTGGATGCCTCTTCATGAGAAGCTACCTTTACAAATGTTATTGATGCATAACCCATGGACACAGACAATAGGGTGGTGGAGGCCTGGGGTGGGGGCGGGGCGGGCTATAAGGGGTCAATGGGAGAAAAAAAAGGGGACATATATAATATTTTCAACAATAAAGATTTAAAAACAAAAACAAAACATAAAAAAATAAAAAGAGGAAAAATAAATAAAAATGTTACTGGTAGAAGTGTGGGATCCTCTTTCCCACTGGGTGCTGGGGGGTGGGGGCCTTATGATATCTAGAGTCAAAGTATTTCCTGAGGCTTGGGAGGGAGGGCTTGTGATTTTTATTTGTGTGGAATTATATTCCTGGGTTTCCAAAGTCCCATTTCCTTTATTTCAGTCATGGGAGAGGTACAGCTGGGGAGTCAGCAGATCTCAAAGCAGAGCCAGTGTCCAGAGCTTCCACCCCATGTTGGAATTGGGTCCTGTACAGCACCAGGCTAGTTCAGACCATCAGTCCATTGTTTGGGGTCCACAAGGCTGTGGGACATTTGGGCAAATGCAGGAGCATGAGAGCCCTGCAGGTCAGGAGTCAAACAAGAGGAACCTGGAGTCAACCAAGAGCAAACTAAGAAAGCAGGAAGCAAGAGAGTAAACTCCTTTGTATCCCAAATCTTACCACACTTACAGTGGCCATGCCCACTCTGGCCAATGACCTGTTCCCAGGTGTGACTGACAGACAAGTACCTTCTCTATGTCTCCCAGACTTACTAGGCATGTGTCTATTCTCCACCCTGTTTAGTCCATTCCCCCAGCCATCCATGGGGAATAGACCCATGGCCCCCTGGGAAGCATTAAACTGTGCTTCCTGTCAAAGCTGCACAAATGACATGCCTGTACTATTTGTCGTTCCCTTTGCTTCTTTCCTGTTAAGAATAACTAGGTTGCTCTAACCTGTTTGGCTCAGTGGATAGAGCGTCGGCCTGCGGACTAAAAGGTCCCAGGTTCGATTCTGGTCAAGGGCATGTACCTTGGTTGCAGACACATCCCCAGTAGAGGGTGTGCAGGAGGCTACTGGTCAATGCTTCTCTCTCATCGATGTTTCTAACTCTCTATCCCTCTCCCTTCCTCTCTGTAAAAATCAATAAAATATATTTTTTTTTAAAAAAAAGAATAACTAGGTTAATTACAACAGTATCAAAAAGAAAAGAAAAAATATTACATTTTGAAAAAATTTTTAGTATGTCAGACACAAAGATTAGAGTTTTCATATCTACACTAATAAAAGACAAACATGCAAATTGACTGTACCTTTGCTATGCCTTAAGGCACACCCACCAGCCAATCAGAGCGACTATATGCAAATTAATCCAACCAAGATGGCGGCCGGCAGCTACGGAGCTGGAGCAAGCAGGGCAGGAGGCTTGGTTGCCCCAATGATGGAGGAAGCCAAGCTTCCCGCTTGCTGCAACTGGCTCTGAGCTCCACTCAAAGCAAGAAAGTTTCAATTATAGAAGGTAAATAAACCCCAGATACATGCTTTTAGCTGGCTGTGGCCACGGAGCTGGAGTGAGCAGGAGGCTTCCCCCCCACCTGCCCTGGCTGGCTCTGAGCTCCTCTCAAGTTTCAATTATAGAAGGTAAATAAATCCCAGAAGAAAAAAAAAAAGAAAAAAAGGAGAGGCTGTGAGCTTCCATCGCCGGAGGGCTTGGCCAGCCTGAAAATGGCCCTCAGCCCCTCACCCAGGCTGGCCAAACCTCCATGGGGTGAGGGTCCCCACTGGGGGGGCGGGGGCTTGACCAGCCTGCCACAGCCATCAGCCCCTCACCCAGGCTGGCCAGGCATCTCAGTGGGGACCCCCACCCTGAAGGGGATGTGACCAGCCTGCAAACACCCATCAGCCCCTCACCCAGGCTGGCCAGGCACCCCAGCGGGACCCCCACCCTGAAGGGGGTGTGACCAGCTGCAAACAGCCATCATCCCCTCATCCAGGCTGGCCAGGCACCCAAGCAGACCCCCACCCTGATCCGGGACACCCTTCAGGGCAAACCATCCTGCCCCCACCCGTGCACCAGGCCTCTATCCTATATAGTAAAAGGGTAATATGCAAACTGACCCTAACAGCAGAAGGACTGGGAATGACTGGTCACTATGACACACACTGACCACCAGGGGGCAGACGCTCAATGCAGGAGCTGCCCTCTGGTGGTCAGGGCGCTCTCACATGGGAGGAGCTCTGCTCAGCCACAAGCCAGGCTGACAGCTGCCAGTACAGCGGTAGTGGTGGGAGCCTCTCCCGCCTCCTCAGCAGCACTAAGGATGTCCAACTGCAGCTTAGGCCTGCTCCCCGCTGGCAAGTGGACATCCCGCGAGGGCTACCGGGCTGCCAGAGGGGTGTCTGACCTGATCCCCTGGGGAGCGGGTCTAAGCCAGCAGGTGGACATCCTCCGAGGGGTCCCAGACTGCAAGAGGGCATAGTCTGGGCTGAGGGACCCCCCGAGTGCACAAATTTTTGTGCATTGGGCCTCTAGTATATAATAAAGTTTAACATTACATTGAAAATGTTTTTAATCACATTAAAATGTAATTTGGAGGATGTGGGCAGCTTCAAGTCTTGTTCAGTAAAATTATTTGCAGATGAGACCTTTTTAAAGAATAATACTTTTTAAAACAGAGATCATCTATTATGAATGCTCTCAAAGGCTTCTGAACAGTCTGAGATTTATATTTTGCTCCACTGCTAGGATTATTGTTAAAGAGCTTTTCCATGAACTTCTGACATTTAAGCCCGTAACTTGAACTATTGTCGATCAGATCTGGCATTTATTCATATATACCCAGAATGTTGAAGATGAATCTGTTTTGTCCTGCAGCCCCTTGCTTCTCATAGAGAAGTCTCAGTTATACTTTAAAATCAGGTAAGGGAGTAACATTGTTAATTAAATGTCTAGATAGATTTTATGTAAGATAATCACTTTAATAAGACAAACAAATTATAGTTACCAAAAAATTGAGATTAAGGAACTTTGGACAAATATTACCACATTAGCCTTGAACATGTAAGCCATAAGGAATTTGAAATTTGCAAATATTCTACCATCACATTCACTCTTTACTATAAAAAGTGACTGGACCCTGTATACTATAACTCCACACAAACAGAAACAGATCTACTGCTCCTTTATTTACTGAGCATTAGAAGTGATAGTTCACTTGTGATGGTTCACTAGTTAAATGATGAGGAATAATCAAATAGTCTAGGTACCCTTTTATTTCTCTACTACTGTTTTAATCCTTTAAAATATTTTTATTATGGAAAATTCAAACATAAGGGGAGAGAATATTATAATGGCCCTCATGTCTCATCATGCAACTTGAATACGTATAACTTTTTTAGTAATCTTGCTCCATGTATTCTTCATACACATTATGTTACGTGAGTATTTTAATTGTGTTGCTGGACAGGGACTGGGCCCAGAGCAGGTCTGCCTTGAACTGGCCAGTAGTGTCTGGATTCTTGACTTTGTGCAGCAAAGATTTCACAAATGAGTCCAGGTGACTTTGAGGATATGTTTATTAAAGTTGGGGACAGCGAGGCAAGGAAGGGCTTAGAATAGAAGAAGCAGCAGGACAGCCTAAGCAGGGCTGCTCTGGCTCTCGAGAAATGTCATAGGAAAGAACAGTGTGCCGTGGGTCCTTTGTTTTGAGGTTTTTAATCTCTCTCTAGCTGGTGGGGGTCTGAGGGGAGGTCACACGAGAGGGTCTTAACAGACTATTCATTAACTTTCCAGGTGTGTCCTTCAGTATGTCCATTCATCATATACAGGGTCAGGTGTTTTGTTTTTTTCTGGTTAGTTTTACTTTCAAAGAATGTCATTGAAGAGTGGCCGAAACCTAGGCCCGTCTGTGACCTGGAATGTGTAAAGTATTTATTCCTTGGGGTCCTTGGTTAGGGAGGGTAAAATTTTGTGATTCATTATCTGGCTGTAAATTGCTCAAATTGTTTGGCCTTATTTAATTATTTTTGTCTCAGTTTCCACTTGTCAAGGAATTTCCCTAGCTTCTTACTATCCTGTCACAATTGGGTATCATATTTTTAAATCTATTTTTTTAATTAAATCTTTATTGTTGAAAGTATTACACATGTCCCTTCCCCCCCCCCCCCCCCCCCCCCCATTGAGCCCAGCTAGCCTGCCCCCACCCCAGGCCTTCACCACCCTATTGTGTGTGTCCAGGGGTTATCCATATATGCATACAAGTTCTTTGGATGATTCCCTCCCACCCACCCATCCTCCCCGCCTTCCCTCTGAGATTCTGAAGTCTATGCTTCTATGTCTCTGGATCTATTTTGTTCATCAGTTTATTTTGTTCATTAGATTTCACACATGACTGAGATCCTATGAAACTTATCTTTCTCTGATTGGCTCATTTCACTTAGCATAATACTCTTCAGGTCCCTCCATGCTGTCTCAAAGGGTAAGAGATCCTTCTTATTTTTACTGCTGCATAGTATTCCATGGTATAAATGTACCACAGCTTTTTTATCCACTCATCTACTAGTGGGCACTTGGGCTGTTTCCAGGTCTTAGCTATTGTAAATGTTCCTGCTTTGAACATAGAGG